AGAGAAGATAAAAAATAAAAAATAAACTTTTGTTTGAATAGTAACAAATATGCAATTTTACACAATGATTCTTGCAATAGCAATTTTTCTCAGTGCAATTAGAATGTGACGAAATGATGTTGCAACGGAAGAAAATTCAAGCTTTATCAACACAGAAATGTGTCATATGAATGATAACAATTGTACTACGTTTGAAAATACTTTATGAGTTTTATTGTCTATTGATGAAATTATGCTTTATGAGTTTTATTGTCTATTGATGAAATTATGATCATTCAGTTTGATTTGTAATCTTTTTTATTTGGCATAAGTATCGTCGATGAATATTATCGTATTAAGGTGATACTTCAAGTATATTAAAGAAGATTCTATTGCATGTTTCTTTGCGATAAAATCTTTTCGATATGCTTAATGAAGTACCGTTAGCCACATTAACTAGTGAATAGATTGACTGGATTGATTTGGTAGTTGGCGTCACAGGTTTGACAACTATAAGGAACAGTTAAATATTTTAATCTGAAATATCATGAATTCAGTGGACCAGTGATAGTAATGAAGCTTGGATGTATAACCGGTAATGCAATTGAACGATGGCGTGCATTGATGGGGCCATCAAAAATGTTGCGAACACTGCAGTTGCAGAATAGTTCATCATTGCGGGCTCGTTTTGCACTTTCTGATACACGTAATTTGGTACATGGAGCCGATTCACAGCAAACTGCTAATTACGAATTGAGTTTATTTGCACCGTATCCAAAAATTCACCTTCAAAATATGCTACCAAAAGTTAGTTGCTAAGATTTGCATTTTTATTGTTATCTTCCAGTTATTTCGTCTCATCACTTCATTACTCTTTACTACAATAAACGTGGCTTTACAAATAACACTCCAGGTCGAATCAATAGTTGTATAATGTTGTAAGCTCGACCAAAAACGGTTTGCTTGTCGTTTAGATTCTCCAGTTTAATGCTTATTTCATTAATGAGTCACTGCAGTATTTTTGAACTAATTTCAGGATAAGGAAAGATGTAAGATAGTTAATTCAATAAAAGTTTAAATCCCTCGTATTTTTTTCCTGATTTTATTTGTATTCCTTATTTCATTTAAGTTTTTTCATTTGCACTTTTGAGCTAAAATTAGCTTTTCCTTCTCGTGTTATTCTTATTATTCTTATTTTAACTATTTTAATGCTGAAATTCAAAAATGAATTTGCATGAGAAACTTTGAGAAACTTTTTCTTATATTTATTTAGCGAGCAAGTGAATTCATTTTTCTTAACTTTACCCTCTATCGCTTTTGTCAACTCGTATATCTGAATATTGAATGAAATATAATAGAAGATGAAAGAGGGAAGCAATATGAGAATGGGAAAGATTGGGGAATAAATAGTCGAATTGCCCTAGGCAATGCCTCGTAAATGTTTCTTCGATGTGCTTATGCTGTTGTATTCGTGTGGAACCAATTTGCTCCTTCCTAAATTTCCATTTTATTGACTAATTTTGAATCATTTGCAATTAAGTTTAATTAACGAAAGTTGGCAACTGATTGCAATATTTCTTTCCAATTTTATATGTTGTCGAAAGTGTAAAAGCATTTAATATTACTGCATGGCACACAAAATTTTCAAATTTAAAGTACCATTGCAGATGAACAGATGTGTGGCGCTAAGTGGACAGAAACGAACATAATTGACAGACATGGATTCGAATAAAAAAAAAAAAGAAAGAAAAAGAAAATCATTAAAATTTGGAAGGGAAATGCATACAGCAGTTTCTTTATTTTGTTTATTGTATATGCCGAATGTCGGATCTCTTCCATCTTCCTCCCATCAATTTCTCTACATTCCTTAACAATTCAGCCCCACACAAGAGATTATCCGGGACATCTCTTTTCGGTCAATTCAAAAGATAGGAAAAAGAAATGAAAGAGACGAGAAAATTTGCCATTAGTTTGCCATATATGTCAAATTTTGGGACACCATCAGATTGTCACTTTCTCATTTCTTCTTTCAAATCATGAAAAGAGCAATGACTTGTTTTCATGTCCTTAGTGAATTTATTTGTCATCATTATGTTCAGGAAGTGATTTTCACTTGAAATCAAAATAAACATTATTCATAGTGAAGTGTTGATATTGTTATCATTTTATATTTCCAATGTCTATGTCTTTCCATCATTTTCCGGATGTTATTTTTGTATAGTTTTCCTATCTTTCGAAAAATTTTTATTGATTGCAATACTGTTAACCTAAACATAAAGTATAAATAGGAGGAAAAATTATCACTTCATTTCTTTTTTTCTTTTCATCTAACACAACATATAAATATGATAATATCTTCAGGAAATGAGTATTTTTAACACGATAGTTTTAAATGCTACTTGAAAATTTATTGTGGTGATGAGAAAAATCCCGGAATTTAGGAGTTCAAAAGTATATCAATGGATACATTCAAGATATGCATGAGTGTAATTTTAACAGATCAAAATAGTTTTTGATAAAAATGAAATTAGATTTTATGAAATTCAACCTTTTTTATCAAAGATAAATTTTTTTAGAGGATATTAAATGTTGTTGTTTAGTGTATCTTTCAATTCTTTTATTCATTACAAATTCAAATAATGCTTTTTTTTTTTTTTTTGTGCTATTCCATCGAAGTATCATATAAAAATTGTATGACCTACTTCCTCTATGAACGACTAGTAATGTTTGTTAAAATATTTCAATATTTTTGAGCTATTATAGTCTTATTTAATAACAATAAAATTAAATTATTAATTAAGTAAGTCAGGTATGATTTGTAGGGATGAAAATTTTTGAAAAATATTTTGTACATTAATATGACATAATTATGCATGCTATTAAGGTTAATTAGGGATTAAAAAACAAAACAAGGAAAAAAAACTAGTTGAAAATTTGTATTATAACATTTTTTTTTTTTCAGTTTATTGCATGAACATTGTAATTTTCATTCTTTATTTACAAAAATTAAGAGCAAGAGAGAGAGAGAGAGAGAGAAGATACGAAAAAAGGAAAGAAATGGAACGAAATAGACGCATAAAATCATGATATCATCAATTTAAACTATATATGGATGAATTAGTAATAACCGGAACATGATGAAGAAATATACGCATATATGTATGCGTAGACAGGTACGTGAACAGGCCTTAACGACTAGATTCTAAATGAGGAATTAGAAAGGAAAAAAAAAATTTCAAAAAAAAAAAAAACTAAAAAACTAAAAAGAACTACGCAAAAATCTTACTTTTATTATTATCAATAACTAAATTATTATCATTGTTAATCTAATCATTCTTACCTTTATTAATTAAATTATCCTTATCTTCTTCATATCTGCTCCTATTTTCTCCTATCATTATCATTTTTAAAATTTATTGTTGATTTTAATCTTCCATAAAGTTTCGTTTTTTTTTCTCTGTAAATTAATCATTCAATTTAAAAAAAAAAAAGAAAAAAAATTTTTCTTTTTTAAATCTCTTATGCGAAATCATTTCACATTATTCATTAAAATAAATGATAGGAGATAATGAGGAAAAATGATGGAAGAAAAGATTGGGGGGGAAAAAAAGTTAGACGATAAAGAAAATTAAAATTGGAGAAAAAAAAAGAAGAAAAGGTGAAATCACAGATTAGATTGGTCTATTGACAACAATAAACAATAAAAAGAAGAGGACAAAAAAAAAAAAAAAAAAATAATAAAATTAAAAATAAAA